GAGACAGTGTGATTGGCACAGGACAGAGCAGAGTTTAGGGCTGTTGTACATAGGGTCGCTATGAGTCGCAAGCGACTCGACGTCACATAACAACAACAACATAAGCCAGATATTTCACTTTCAATACAGCATGTCTAGTTGTTGGTTTAGTTTTATGTATCTAGCTCAGTCTATTTTGTTTCCTATAAGAAAACATTCCTTCATGGATCCCTTTACTTCTATATGAAAAACTGGGTATGACAAAACCCTGATCCCGCTGTTATTTATAAGGGCTGCATCTGCAGAACACAGATGTCAGTCATATGGTTGTGTCTCTCTCTGGGATGATGAGGGGTTTACTACCTTAGAATAAAACTAGTTTTACACACTTTCCAATTTGGTGTTCCTTTTCTCTAGTACAGTATGTTCTTCACTACCTGAGAAGGAACAACAATCTCCACAACTGGACCAATAGGGAACATTATGACAGATGTTGAAAGATCAAAGTTATGAAAGATTTTATTTTACTTGGATCCATCACCTAAACCTTGTGGACAGAGTTCAGATCTATTGTTCATAGGGTTATGGGGTTGCTATGTGTCGTCCTCGACTTGATGGTATTTAACGACAACTACAACTACCACCACCCCCACCCCCAAACCTGCGGCAGCAGTGGCCAAGAAAGCAAACGTACTGAATTGAATTACGCAAACCTGTTGAAAAGGATCTCTTTAAAATGAAAATGGAAGTGTGCCTGACCCAAATCTCAAATGTCTCGTATACATGTGAAAGCCGGACAATAAGTAATGAAGACTTAAGAACAACTGATAGAATTGAATTATAATTTTTGCAAAAAATATGGAATACACCACAGATTGCCAGAAAAATAAGTCTTGAAGTTCAATCACAAGGTTCCTTAGAAGTGAAGATAGTGAAATATCATCTCATGTACCTTGGATATAATATAGGAGGAACCAGTCTCCCCCAAAATAACATCATGTTTAGTAGAAGATAAATGGTAAGGAGGAAGACCCTTAACAAGATGGACTGACACAACAATAGCAAAATGTGCTCAAGCAAAGCAACAATCTCCAGGACAGATTAGAACAAGGCAATGTTTTATTTATAGGTTATTATAGTAGACAGAATAGCATTTGAGCCAGAGCCTATGGTGACGGAGGCAGAAGTTCAAGCTGCTTTGAAGGAAATAGCAAAAAATAAGGCCCCTGGACTAGATGGTATACCAACTGACATATTTCAGCTAACAGATGCTGCCGTGGATGTGCT